GGAGGGAGGAAGGGAGGGAGTAATGAAGGATGGGATGTAGGGAGAGAGAGAGGGAGGGAGGAAGGGAGGGAGTAATGAAGGATGGGATGTAGGGAAGGAGAGAGGGAGGGAGAGAGGGAGGGCGGTAAGGTAGAGAGGGATGTTTAGGGTTAGGATTAGGGTTAGTGTTAGGGTTAGGGTACATTTCTGTAGTACAAGTCTGGTACACTTTGTGTATACATATATATATGTACCTCGGGTACATATCTGTAGTACCTGTTACGACAACGACCCGGCCCTTAACTAACGCTCTAAGGGGCCTACTAGCTAATTAAGGGGCTAACGCTAATTAAGGGGCCTACTAACGCTCAAGGGCCCTTGAGCGTTAGTAGGTGTCCTATAGCTATCACTTCTCTAACAGAATGTGAAAATGTTTTTATGGGGTTATTGCAGAGCGATAGAGCTTATATAAACTATATTGCTGAAGTTAGCTTAACTATATCATGTAAAAATCTTTGCAATATTAATAATTTGTTGTTACTGTAAGATAATTGCAAAACGTTAGAGTGGCGCCACTAGTCGAGGAAGAAACTTACGGCGGGACTCTAGACTTTATACATACATGCTGTTGTAACTGCGCCTGTGTGATTCAAGTTTATATGTCCAATATATTATGTAACAAGTAAGACTGTCGTTGGTATCTGTATTCCTAACGTCCTGTATTCAGTATACCAGTTACTGTACTAACATTTCTTGCAGCAGCTCTTCTTATTTTGAATAAGTAGAAAAACAGCTAATTTCGATCCCTATATCAGTATATATGTCTAAAATCTTAGCAATATCTGATAACAGTAACATTGTTTCATAGTTGTTGCAGCGCCACTACTAGGCATGATGGAGCAGAGGCCAGGCCAAAGCCCATTGGACGGTCCGACGGAACCCCACCTGTATCTTCTACTTCTATACTGGACAGTCCGTAAGGAATAACAGGCCGTCCAGGGAGTGCGCGTCAAGTTGACACGGTCGCCAGCATGTCAACTCGAAGGCAACGTACGTGATCAAGAACAATCATTTTTTTAAAGTGGTTTAATATTATTGCTGGCATACAATTGTTAATTTTTTTGGCCGTGCAGTTTCAAAACTGGCCGTGCAAATCACGGCTGCACGGCTCGCTGGCTAATACGTTGATGAGTAAGCTGACCGTACAAATCACGGCTCGCTGGCTAATACGTTGCCTACTATCCTGTTGCTCGTGGTTGTAGAGAGCTGACGCTTACGGTTCGTAATCTTACAGGTTATCGCTCAAAGTAGCGTTTACACACCCATGTCGTGAGTTTGGTTAAAGGACCAGGGTCTTTGCGCGCAACTTGATTGTTTATAGGTGGCGCAATGGTTTTCGCCCGGGCGTTTACTCGCCGTGAAACTGCTGCGGCCGAGAACTTATAATTTTTGAGTTTCGGTCCACTAGATGGCGATACCAGCGGTATAAACAAACTGGTTTGCGCGTGACTATTTCGCCGCGCCAGCCTACCGGTACCATATCAAAGTTGATGTGGTTGTTTTCGTACCTTATTTTCGTNATTGATGGACTTTGAAACCTCAGGTTACAAATGTTTTGATTTCTGGGCCAACCTGCAAACAAAAATCAAGCGCTATACATTGACTTAATTGTATCACTGGCAGCAAGAACCACTCCGCTGCAGCTACAGCACACACGTACACGGCCATTGTCCATATATAACATCTAGATGTTATATATAGACAATGGCCGTGTGTGTGCTGTAGCTGCAGCGGAGTGGTTCTTGCTGCCAGTGAATTGTATCTCAATAGTCGGATGCACATTTCCCATGCATATGGATGGTTACGACTTATGACATACAAATGGATTACAAAACATTCAAATTAACCCCATATTTTTATCAATTGATAGGTCGTTGAGCAGAAGTGGTAAGAAAAGTGACATTGAGAGCTCTCACTTCATGCCACTACCAGCTGAAGGAATGGAAGTTATTGCTTCAGGTAGTACCAGTGAAGCAACTTCAGAAACTTCAGGTAATTGCTGTTGCATTCGATGTTTTTTCTAACGCTTGGTTTTCAAGTGATCGAAATTGTTTACTAGCGCTGAGGTAGGAGTAGTGACAGGCTGCGTGACATGTGCGCGTTACAGCACACGCTCATATGTCAAGCATTAAACTTTGTGGACATAAGGGGTGGGGATATCTTTAGTCCCAATCTGTGACAGTTGAGGACAGTTTGGACTAGTTTTCATTTCAGCTGAAGTTGTTTTAATTATTAATTTTAAAATAACAAATAAACATTAATACTTAAAACATTATTAGTTCTTACGCAAAAATTTGTCATAGCATGTAATGTCAGCATCTCTTTTTCTATCCATGTATAGATACGTATCGTATCGTGACCCTAGTGTATCGGTACACATCTATACATCATGTACACAGTCACTTGATGAACAGTTTGATTCAACCGTGCTTACCCGCCGATAACAACATATTTTTGTTGCTAACTATATCACTTTTATCCTCTATCTTGCAGCAACCAAGATTACGACCTGCGAGTCAAAATAGCAGCCATTGACCACAACGCTCATAGTGCCAGAGAGCGCGCTCGGGACTAGTCAGGGAAGTTAATGTAAGTTTGCATAAAAATACTAACAACTCAGTGAGTAACAGCAAATGTTTTTTTTTATTGCAAATAACATTTATTATGCATGCATTAAAATTTTGTACATTGATTGTTTTCATTTTTACAAATTTCATGAATTACAGTGTAACAGTACAACTTTCATTAACATTCATTTTACTAACAGTAACAATATGTTTAAGAAACAACAAGTATAAATGACATGTCTTTGTGACATTTAAAATAAATAGAAAGTTAATGCTTTGCTGATGAGAAGGTTACACATTTTTTTTTGCAGCTTTCACACTCATTGGTCTAAGGCGGCCAAGCAGTGGACGCTGCGACCTGTAAAGGTTCTGAAGGAGTACACTTACATACCTCTCCTATTGAGAATGGTACTTAAAAAATGCCAAGAACACACCGCACAAGGAGACAGTATCACAGAAGCTGCATTCCCGATGGCAACAGGTCCTACAACTACAATGAAGAACATTGCATCAGCACCGAAGCCGACACAGGAGGAGCTCTACACGTCATGGTTCACGCGCTATGGAAAACGGAAAGAAGATATCGCTGCAGAAGTGGAGTACAGTGTAACGAGTCAACAACCAAGCTTTCCAGCCAGAGCAGACACTGACCATGACACAGAGGATTCCACTGATGACAGTGATTAACATGGTGAGTAACGGAAATCTTATGCACACTTTGTATTTTAAATGCATTGTGTATTTGGTCTTCGAATTTTGATAAAAACTATATATGTAATGCATATAATAATATATAATCATACCCGTATGCAAGTGATTTTAGCATTACATGTAAGGCAAGGTATTAAATGGAAAATATATCTCAAGGGATATGGGAAAAGCTTGAGAACTAATTATTTCAAAATGAAAAATAATCAGCTATGTTTAGCAGATACTGCAAATGGTAAAAAAGTACATTAAATGACGCTAAACTATGCTGTTTGCTGCAATGTGTATATAAATATGCTGTGCTATTATTTACTTTGAAATAAGTATAATTAATTTACATTTGTACATTCATTGCAGGAAAAGTGTGCGTCCATAATACCCCCGTCACACCGGGGTGGCGTCCTTACTGCGCTGCTACGGCGACAGAAAATGGGCCCAGAGCGCGCCAAGGTCGCAATAGCGTGGCATAAGCGTGGTGGAAACGCCTAGACATCGTGGGTGTGTCGCCCATGGTCGCCAAATGATCGCCGAGTCACGGCGTTTGTTTTGAGGCATGTTTCAAAACAAATGCCAAGTTTCGGTGATCATTACCCCTGGAACGCGTGAGAACGAAGGTCGTGAGACACGCCGTCGTAACATCTCCAATAAAAACGTAAGTAACCGCAGTACACAGCGTGGCAAAGACGCTGCGAAATGGTAACATTTTCAACGGCGAATTCATCGATACTGTCTCATCCGATTGTTTCATGCCGATCTGTCTCGGCCAACGGCCTTCGGCTCTGGTAACTTGTTTCTCGCATTCGTGTTTCCTAACCAGCAAACGCACACACTATAAGAAAATGGATCGCATGCGACCGGAATGAGGTGGGGGGGGAAGGATGGCTACTCGGAGGTGGAGGGGGCAGGATCCAAGATGAGATCAGTTAAAATTTCCGAAAAAATCTGACCAGCTTATATAGTCGCCGTGAGAACGTGGTAGAAACGCCGTGAGGTCGCCGTGAGTCGCGATACACGTTAGAAAGACTGGCGCGGTTAAGAACCCAATGAGCGTGGTGAGAGCGCGCGGGAACGCCGGTGAATCGCCCGTTGCCACAGCAATAGATCTCAATAGAAACGCCATAAGCGCGAGAGGTCGTGGCGCGCGCAAGCCGTGAGAACGCGGTATATCCGCACAGTCGCGGTAAGAGCGCGGCTTTTTTTCAAGTTTTTGTAATCTTGTTGGGACTTTTTCTCGGCGTTGTGTTGCGTTTGCCGGCGACCTGTCACATTTTCTGGTCGCCGTAACGGTCGCGGATGGTTCCGGTCCAGTGTGACCGGGCTTATAAGCGAACCATGATGAGATGTCCCATTTTTACATGCAACTCTCTACCCTTTATGACAGATATGACGCAGTAATTTTATCTAGATATATTCAACTTATTCATCCGATTTCTAAAACAGTTTCAACAGAGCAAATTGGGCTGTAAGCTTTAATGCTAAAGGGAGGAGCTTCTGCGCCTTAGCATTTATTACTGTTGCGATAAGTTGTGTTTTTAATCAAAAAGTAATGTTGCCGAATAGTGAAATTGTTCCTGACACGGAATCCAGTATTCCCTCCCAGTCCCATTCTCAGGGATGGGGAATACAATTTGTTTTCAGCTGAAAATAGCCGGGGTCCAGCGGGGGGGGGGGGGTAAGGGGGGTCAAGTCTAATGGTGAAGCCTGTCAGGGGTTCAGGAAGTTTTTGAAATTTTCACACACTTACAAGGCAATAAAATGCCATTAGGAGACACAATACAGAACAGATATTGTTTACAAGCATATTACAGTACACTGCAGGGAGTCTATCTTGTCACTGTCATGTTACATAACACCCGAATTAAATAATTCAATACAAAAATTTAGCTTACATTCTGGCAAACAAAATTATTTTAATGTACACTTCCACACTGTCCCAAAGGCTAACGCTTTATAATAATATGAGATGTTTATTGTCCAGGCAGTTTTTCAAATTTTGTTTCTGGTCACTACAGTAGATATGTTATCAATATAGAACAACTTTTTAGGGCTTGCTCCTGCTGCCAAGGCAAGTCTGTGAGCCAAACAGTGATCAGACATGCAGGAAAGAAACGTTTTTTATTTGGCTTACCCACAGGGTTCCACAAAAATCGCTCGCCTTTGCGCGCACGAATATAATATTCTACACCTCTAGGAGCTAGGGCGCCAATCGCGCGACATTAATTTTTTTAATCGTTTTCAAAGGTCACCGAAAAAAAGCAGCCACGACAACCTTTTATGGTTATGTATATATGTATTAAAACAGACTTCATTGGCGAGAAAGCTGAATACAGTTCGTAGCTTCATAAAAGGAGCCTCCAAGGTCAACGCGTGACGCGCGGCCTTTGAGGTACCGATCGATAGCGTACTATATATATATACGGCGCTGCGTAGCAACGCGCGGCACACATACAACACACTTTGCAGGCATCAAATAAACGCACACCACTGGCCAACATCTGACAATCTCAAAGCAGTGAAACTAAGCCGTGTCTATTATAAAAGCGAAACTATAGTCTATTGTAAAGCGAACTATATTACAATGTTATTAAATGAAGATACTTGGACTGTAAAATAAAAATTTGTAGCATATCTAACCCCCTCAATTTTCTTCTCAACGGATTTAGCGTTCACAAAAATCCGACCCTGGGACTGTGAAATCCGCAAGCTGGTAACACATAACCTTTCCTGCAACATTAAGCTGCTCCAACAGTGTGGGCATGTCCACGAGCAGTGCTTACACCACAAAAGGCATGGGGTGTGAGGTGATGAATGATTGAAGGGTCGCTCTGCGATCCTGCTACTAGCTGTTTGTTGCTTGATTTTATCTTAGGTCGTAGTCGGCCTATTGTAAGACGAGATTTTTCCAGCTGTGGCGCATGTCAATTTGGCATTTGACATACTCCTGAAATTTTCATAGAAAAACTGTACACGTTTAATTGACTTTTATTTTACTTTTGTTCCACAAATTTCATAGAACTTACATAATTGGCAGTGATATTTTAAAGGTTTAGAATAGTCAACTATAAGTTTAACTCTAGGCGGCAATGTGTGTCTGTGTTGAATCCACATACGGAGTTTTTTAGGTCCTATATTTGGGTTTTTTTCTTCAATGTTTTTCCATTGTTGTTTTTCATAAGCGAACATTTAAATATCACCAGCCTGAGGCATTAGTTTTGGCAAACTTGCATAAATATTGCGACTTAAAAAATTAAAATACTAACCTTTGCCTGAAGTGGCAACTTGTTGACGAACTGATGTGGAGGGCTCCAGTGCTAGAACACAGCTGGCCTCAGTTTCCTCAACGCTCAACCTCCTGTGAGCCTATAACATTAGTATACATGAGTTTTGTTGTAAACACGAGGTGTAACTGCATGTTTTTTACACAAACTTGGTTTTTTTGTGGCATAATAAAATATATTTCTAAATGAAAATTCCAACTAATTTATTTCTGTTTTTTAATTGCACAAAACCTATGTTAAGGCTGTGGACACACTACACGATTTTCGCAGGTGCGACTGCAGTGCCGCCTGACTCGTGGACAACACTAGGAGTGGCGATTTTCCGCGATTCATTGGCCGAATTCATCTCGCGCCAGCCTAGATTGATCACTTAGATTGATAGGTCACATGATTGAAAATGGCACCTATTTTGATTGCTGATAAATTCTGTACATTCTGCTGCGCGTAGCGATAGCGTAAATTGTATAGTATCGCATTGTATATAGTCGTTGGCGACTAAAATAATCGCCCAGATATTATCAAACAATTGGTCTTGATTCGAGCGACTCACGTCGCCGACTCAAATCGCCTGAACAATCGCCTAGTGTCCACAGCTTTATGTTACCACACCGAGTTTCTTTTCCTAATGTGATGCCTTCTTAACAATTTTCTCTTCTGTGAAAAGCAATATCACATGTTTACTAAATACTACAACTGTATGTATTAAGTTGACAGCATGTTGTTACTTAGAATCAGTTGATGGTGTGCTTTGCACACATGGCAAGACTGTAATGTTATCAATATAATAGACCAGTTTAATTTTAATGAATGATTAACAGTCTGTTGAATTGGAAATATAATTTGGCCGGGCTTACTGCGACCGGTTCTGGACATTCATCTCATAGTCCAGTTCATAAAAGTGGCAAAAAGGCCTCTACCCGGGAAATCGAGTGAAAACAAGCTGAATTCTTTCCTAATGTGTTTGGTATTGGTCGCATATAAAACCTAAAAAAAAAGGTTACAATATTTTGTTGGTTGCGAAACCGTTTTTACGGGCCACGCCCTTCTTTCCGATTTTGCGCAGATTATGGGAAAATTGGTGTAAATCTTACCTGACACTTTATAGTCATGTTATACATGTTTACTAGGGGTATTTTGGGCCCCGGGGATCGATTCCAACAGCAGTTTTATTCATAAATTAATGGTAATGCTTTAAATTGACCAAAGTTAAGGCCTCAATTAAGCTCAGTCGCATAGTACCAAAAATCTTTCGGTGTTTTCTGACCATATTGGCATGTTAGGTAATGCTTTCTGGGTTATTTTTTGATGCCCGATCGAATTCTGGTGTTTTTAAACCTCAGAAGTATGATTCATACCTAAAAAGTGTTATAAGGAGTGGTTTCACGTGAAACGTTCAATAGATCAGGTCACGGTATTTGTTATGTGTCATGGTTGAGAAGCGAACAGCGCTGGGCTTGACCCTTTACAGATGATGACCACATTGTTCTGATAGAAAGCGGCTGTTTGTATGTAGTCGGCACGTACACGTGCGTGCTGCGTGCAATGCGTGTGCACGTAACACGTGCGTGGCATGGCCGTTGGGCGTGTGGCGTGGTGCGTGGCGTGCGGTGTGCACGTACCGTCGGCGTTCGTGGCACGTACACGTGCGTGCGTGCGTGTGCACGTACACGTTCGTGCGTTTGAGTGCACGTACACGTGCGTGCGTGCGTGTGCACGTACACCGTGCGTGCGTATTACATGTGCGTGCGTGTGCACGTACAGCAGTGCGTGCATGCCGTGTGTGTGTACGTGCGTGCGAGTGTGCAGGTACAGTGTTGTGGCATGAGTGCGTTGGTGCGTACGGTGGCGTGTGTGGTACAGGTACACGTGCGTGCGTGCATCATGCATGTGGCACGAGACGTGCGTGCGTGCGTGTGCAACGTACACCTGTGTGCATGCATGTGCGTGCTGTGTGTAACACGTACGTGCGTTGCATGCGTGGTGTGTGCGTGTGTGCTGGCACCGTAGTATACTGCGGCGTGCGTCACACTGCGTGCATGTGTGCGTGGCACTGCGCTGTGCGTGCGTGCGTAGTATACGTAACACGTGCGTGTGCGTTCGTGCGTGCGTGCGTGCGTNCGTGGTGGGACAGGTGAGGGGACGACGTACCGTGTGGGCGGTGAGTGGGACGA